AAAAAATCCTTACATATAGTTTTTTATAAGTGTGCTCAACTATGTTTGTGTTTATACTGATGTGTAACACCCCAATCACGTTTGTAAAATTGATCGGTTCTCCAAAATCATGTGATTTCATCACCAAGGGTGTTTTATATTCGGGTTCATGCAATGAAAAATTTGTGGTGATGAAAAATTATATATCTCAAAAATAAAATTAGACTTTTTTAAAAAAAAGATATGAAATATTTATTGCCAGTTTTTTTGAGTTTAACTCATATCATCTTTTTTTTTAGATTTTGTGAAATTATTACTGCACGTAATGTTTTCTTTTTCTATGTCTCCTGGTGAGTTGTATTTAGAAAAAGGTCACTCACTGTTAGAGTTCCGAACGGTCGGGTTGACATGGGTCCAATATGCCGAATCACATAGCCCTTGTTTTATGCTGCACCATGTGTCATATGCAATGCGTGACCCTTAATATTAATATATATATATTACAACATCAAGTGCCAATAAATAATTAATGTGTACACGTTTGATCAAATAAATTCCTTTTCTAAAAACAATGTCATATTAACAGTCGAAACTTGCAAATGGCTTTTGAATTCACATGAGAGTTCTTCTTTGCGAAGGATCTTTCTTTCTTTTAATTAAGGAAAAAAAGTTTAGTTGATTTTTTTAACAATTTTTTTATGGTGATGTAGGATTGAAAAAAACATCTGATCGATCAAATTGACCTTTAGTCTGGGATAAAAATAAATGAACACAAAGAAAAGATCAAAACAAAAGATCTTTTTTTTAAAACAATCAAATTTGTAGAGCTTATCCTTCTATGGCGATGTAGGCTTGAAAAAAAATCTGATCGATCAAATTGACCTTTGATCTAGGATGTATAAATAAATAAATGAATAAAAAACAAACCACTTCGCCTTTCGAATCTTTTTCACTTGCTTGATTTTTGCATAGTATTTCTTTAATTTTGATTATTTGCTATGTCATCTATCTTTTCGTCAACCATGTTCATCAAGTCAGCCAGTGGGACATATACGGTGACTTTGGTGGCTGTGTACCATGTAGAAGAACACGAATATGTGGAGGTCAACTACAAAGCGTTCGGAATGAACTACACCAACAACAACATGGTCCGTCGAATCTAAAAAAAAAATAAAATTAAACAGAAAAAGTAAACTGTTAAATACAATATGTATGACAACATACGAAGCTTCCAAAGCAAGTTTGTAAAATATACTGATGGACATTTATCAATTATTGAATAACGTATCGAAATAAGTGTTAAAAGTCAAGATCTATAAATCTGTTTGTAAAATATATTTAATGAGCGCTTTATCAATTATTCAAATAATTATATAGGCGGGCTTGGTAGAAGTAAGTGTTAAAGTCAAGATATATTTGCAAATTAAGTTTCCAAAATGAATGTTTATTATTATAGGCGGGTTTGATCTAGGGATGTCCACCGAAACTATTTCAAGCTACCAAACACTTTCGGTAAAATTTTCGGTTTTGGTTCAAAAACCAAAAGTCAAAATCTCATCCGAAAATCAAAACCTAAATCGAAAGTCAAAACCTAAACCGAAAACATTAATATTACTACTTTTTTTCTGTATACCATAATTTTCTTAAATCATATACATATAATCTGTACAATTAAAAAAAAAAAATTCAAAAAATTAATTTTAATTTTCATCCAATTAAAATTGAAAAAATAGTGAAGTTTTAAAAGTACATTACAGACAAAAGTCGGGAGCCTAAAAACACAATAAAAAAAATTTTTTTTTGATAATAAAAGTCTCAATAAGTATCTTTCTTGTTTTTATTATTATTATTTTTTTTTTGTAAACAAACATCATTATTAATAAATTTTTGAACAATTCCTTTGAAGTCTTTTAAACTCGAAATATTAGCCTTAAATTTTCAGGTATAATCGTTTTTCGGCAATTATTTTTTTTTTTGGAAGAGAAAATAAATGGTTGAGATTTTATTTTCTTAATAAAAATGATAAAGATGTGAAATTTTCATATATAATTTGGTAACCTAAGTTGCAAAACAGAACCTTTTATTTAATTATTGTTGTGCAATTTTTGTTTAAAAATGCACCTGACTTTGTCCAGATAGTGTATATACTATAATTCTGATGAGGAAATTAATTTAAAAGAAGAGATTGATAGATATGAAAATGATGAAGATACAAGTGATGAACATAATAAAAAAAGTGAAGAAGTCAGGCGGATAAAGAAAGAAATCACAAAATGATTATGAATACTGTGAAAATAGAACAAATGATTATAAGACAAATGATATGTAGATGATGAAAACCAAACCAAAATGAAAAGAGACTAGAAAAAATATTAGAAATTATGCTAAGAAAATAATGCTTTGAATTTAGAAAAAAATTTGGATTAATTATAAATTTTGATAATGATTTTTTGATAATGATTCAAATAAAATAAGCGATTTTTGTCGAATGTTTGACTTTCAGCTTAGATTTTGAATTTCGGTATGGTTTTTGAATTTCGGTTTAGGTTTCTAACTTGTAAATGTTCGAAAGTACTTTTGGTACACTTTCGGTTTCGGTACTACCGAAAAGGGGGGTTTCGGTGGACATCCCTAGTCAAGAGAAGATTAGGCAGAGATTTATTCTTCAACCAAGTTGAAAACCAACCCTTTAAATACATTTTCAAGTAGTACGATTTAATTTATTAGACTATTTCAAATGGTTGCTTCCGACTTCTTAAATTCAAACCATTTGTTTACGAAACAACTGTTGGTGAAGTGATTGTTGACAAAATGAATCAATGTTTTATAATAACGTTTATTTTTACGTTATCAAATTCACGATTTTGATTGGTCGATCAACAATTGCGTAGGTTAAATTTAATGATTGAATCAATTAATCATTTATTTTATTATTATAATGCTATGAAACACTTGGCGCAGTGGTATTTTTATTTTTTGACTATCTTGTATAACGTTGTATAATGATAAATGATTTCATGGTTTGAATGTGCTCACCATCTGTAAACTCAATTGCTTGAAGATGGACAGTGACATCGTAGAAAGTTGTGTTCCGTGCGCTGAAATGGCCTGAGAGGAATTTCTCTACGAAAGAAACGGAAAAAAATGTGGGGAGGCCGTCCTATTTGTATTTTTTTGAGTTAATAAAATAGACTATTGTCTTGACCTGAGTGATGTGAGTAAAAGACACAAATCTCACTGTCACATTTTCGTTTAAAAACTTGTTCTTAATCTTAAATAAGTTAAATAAATTATAAAAATTAAACGTACAGTGTGGATCATCTATACTCAAAAGTTAAAATTTTTGAAATATTATGTGATCCACACATTGGATTTTAAAAAAACCACCACCATTCAATTCAGCTTTAAAAAAGGAGTCTATAAATCTAAAAAAAAATTTGTCTCGAATTTTCTTTTCATAAGTTTTTAAATTTGAAAGTTATGCTCAGAAGCAGTGTTTGAAATTCGACTGCGCCTTTACATAAACTAATCTAATTTTAGAAATTATCTGCGGTTAATTTCCATATTTGGTTAGTGCGCGCCGATTCCGCCGATTGAATTTCCAGTGCTCTCAATATTTTTTTAAAATGATTTCGCCCATAAAAAATAATTTGGGCCCTATAAAAAATTTAAATTTTGCCCCCTCCCTAGTTTTCGATAATTTCGGCAGCATAGCGGGCTTAAATTTGATTGGTTGATCGACAAGGTACATAATCAATAGAGTTCATTATTAAATTTTTCGTCATCTGACTTTAAACCCTTTTCTGGCCACCAAAAATTATTTCTGGCTTATAAGACACATACCAATAAAAAGCTTAGGTTCTACTTAATATATTTTCAAAGTAATTCGAAAAATGACGAGGTAATTCAGAAGTTAGATAAGAAGAACTTTCAAGCATTCACAGAAAAACGGCTAAACTTTTTTGAATTATTTATAATTTATTTTTTTTTTTATGCACGCGTATATATTTTTATTTTATTAGCTCAACAAAACGTTTCAACAAACCACAATACTGTGACCTTGAAGGTAAATACAACATTGAGTGTGACTATGAACGAAATGGTGCTTCTTTCATTACGGAAAATGCGAAGATACCTGAGGAGAACATACATCTAGATTTGGTAGGAAAAGCTTTATGTAGAAAACATCACAACAAATTAATTGTTAACGCAGGAAAAAGACAGAAGATTGCTAAAAAACAAGAATGTGGACATCCAAAACACAAGGAGTATTCAGTGTCTTCATCAAAAGATACAAAACTTGATAAGGCACCTATTCGTTTAATTGAATTTTTTAAACTTCCATCTGACACACTTTTTTGCAATCATTGTAAGTATTCTAGTGATCATGATGAAACATTTCAAAACTATCCACATCCAGCATCAAGACCAAAAGTAACACAAGAAGATGAGTTGATAAAATTTCACAACAATACATATGCATTACGAAGTGATATTTTATACACTGAAGACCAGTATAAAGAATTAGAAAAAGCTTACCAGGAAATTTGTGAAGAATTAAAAGAAGCAAAATTAGGTATATTTTTTGATAAAAAATTCTTTTATATTTAGGTTATTTATTATTTATGTATAAGTGTTAACAATTTAGTTTCTCAGATTTAATTCCATTAGATAAAAAGATTCGTTTAATGACTGGTGTTTTATATACTAAACAAAGAAAGGAGAATCAAGACCCTATTTTTGATCCTGATGAATTCAAAACTATGCTGGAAGATACAGAACCATCACTAAAAGGCTTTTTTGACTCTCTTTATACTGGAACTAATCCAACATCTAAGAGTCACATGACCAATGAAAAAAATAAAAAGCGCTTGGTGATGTTCTGTTATTTTTTAGCAGGCTTGAATAATAAGTTTATTAATGGCATCAAAGCAGAAATAGGCTACATGTTGGATGATGCTGGTGCATCAGCATCAGCAATTGAAACATTTGCAGGAGCTGGAATAAGTATTAGGCGTGAAACAGTTACAAAACATAAAAAAAGGAATGAATTAATTCACTCTGAGACAGTTGGAGAATTTGTTTCAGAACACGTAAGCATTAATATATACTATATATTTATCTGAATTGTTATTAATTGTATTAACCATAACAACAATAATGTCAATGAGTAGATGGATGATTTAATGATTCTTAATTTGGATGATTATCACAATATTCATACAAAGAGACGTGCTGACACTACAACAACATCTGAGGTTCATCACTTCCAAACAATTCTATTGAAAGCAGCACCTAGAATTCCAGCACCTCCCTTTAACAACCCATTTACAGATAAGAATATTCACAACCCAAGAGGCATTGATCATAATCTTATAATTGAAAATTTACAGCAATCAATTTTTCCCTATCTTTGGCTGACATATAATGAACGTAAGTTATTTTTTGCTAAAAATTTACACGAAGCTGCTAATCATGAAGAGCAGGTTGAGATGCTTCTTGTTCATAGTTATGATAATAGGATAAGACAGCGAAGAGAAGACAGAAGTATGAAAAATACTAAACTTGTAAATCTAGTAGAAGGGAGCTTACATTCCACTAGAGATTATGTGAAAGCTATAAACAATCTTTTGAATGTTCCAGAATTAGAGTCATATCTTGGACTATATGCTCTCCCAGCTTCATTGGATTATCCTGGGCAGTTCAATCTACGGCGTGCTATTTCAAATTATTTTAATTCTAGAAATACATTCAATATTTCTCCCTTGCTACTTCATATAATTCCCATGATAGGTCCTCTTCATGTATCTTTAAATAGTCGGGAAACAGTTCTTAAGTTAAATCATGCATTCTTTAACAAACTATATTGTGAGATCTATATGAAGAAAA